CCCCCGCCGGTGCCGCTGGCACTGCCGGACGGTGCAGACGCAGCAGATGCATCGCCGCTCGTCCTCGCAGTACAGCTCCAGCGGGCGTCCGTGCTGCGGGCACAGCTCGCCGTGGGCCACCTCGCACCTCTCTGTGCCCGAGACCCGCGCCTCGCCATCCCGCGCCAGCTCCACCACGCTGCACAGGGTGACGTTCTTCTCCAGCTCCGGGCGCCGCTCGAAGCCCCTGCGGCACTCGGGGCACGTGTAGCCCTTCTCGGCCGCGGTGGGCACCTGCTCTTCCTTGCGCCAGTGGTCGCCGATGCAGCGATTGCAGAAGTTGTGCCCGCAGGGCAAGGTCACGGGCACCCTGAACACCTCCAGGCAGATGGAGCACACCAGCTTCTCCTCCAGCTTCTGTGAGACGGGCGATGCCATCCTGCCTGTGCCGGGAATGGGGCGATGAGGGAAAAAAGCTGGGGAAATAGAAACTCAGCTGTGCAGAGGAGGAAGAGATGGTGACGCTGAGCCCAGAGGCGGGTCAGGGCTCCGAGCCAGGCATGCTCTTAAAGAGACACCCAGCGGGTGCCCCCCCGGCCATGCTGGCTGTGCCACACGCTGGGGAGGGTCTGAGCTGCTCCCCCCGGGCACGGGGAGGGCTGCGAAGCACAGCAGGAGGCCCCGGAGGGGATGAAACACTGCAGCAACAGCACAGGGAGACACGTGCAAGAGGCTGACACGGTTCAGAGCAACGTGTATCTCTGCGACTGCGTTGGCACGGGTACTCTTACGATGTGTAATTTGATTTCGCTCTTTTTTGCCCTTTGAGGGAACTTCCTGGCATCCTCACCTCTGCCAGGGCTGGGTCCCCGAGCAGAACATAGCACTCCTCCCTGGCACAGGCACCTCAGTACGGTGCTCCTGACAAGTGCCAGCCTGGGAAGGAGCAGAGAGGGGCACCCGACGCTGCTGCAGCCACATGCCACCTCCCTCTGCAGTGACAAGGGCTGTGACACATGCCAGCAGTCGGCCAGGGCCACTTCCCACCCTTGCATCTTTCCATTTTGAACCACAGCTCCTGCTGTTTGCACATGCCCCCGTGCACACTCTCCACTCCTTTTCCTACTGCAAGTTCCGTGCACATCGGTACTACAAAACGCAAAAAAGGGGCAAGTCCCTGCCCAGGTGGCAGGTGGAGTCTCCTGCCCGGAGGCGACAGCAGTGCCCATGCTCTGCATACCTTCACCTTCTCTTCATACAGTTCAGTTTCAGGAGAAAAAACTCCCAACCTTCCAGTCCAAACCTTATCTCCTCACCCTCGCAGATACGCTATCGCTCGTGCACGCTCCCAGGCAGCTGAATACTGGCAGGTTGGCCTCGATCTGCAGTGGTTCTGCAGCCTCCCCACACTGTATGGCTTAGCTTTCACCCATGCTGGCGAGGGCGAGCGGGGAGGGGGTCTGTGCTGCAGCCAGGGTGCTCACCAGTGGGCTGCTGGGGGGTCGGAGCAGTTTCCATATCATGGGCAGGCTCAGACCCACCTCCCAGACCACCCCTGGACCCTGGAGGTGACAGGATCTGCCACAACTCCCTGCATGTCCCAGCAAAGCTTCAGCCCCCAAAACATTTCTTCAGGCTGAATCTGCAAATTCTGACCAAATATTCAAAGCTCAGAGAGTGGTGTAACACAACCTGGAACCGCAGGACACCTGCACTCCCACGGCGGTCACCACACCAGCTAATTCACTCAGGCTTAAAATCAGAGCCCAGAACCCTTTGGGCAGGGAGGAGAGTTCAGGGAGCTCAGGCATAGCTGGTAATGGCCCTGGGCAACGGCAGAAGGGGGCAAGGGAAGTTGGGAAGAAGTTCCCAAATTACTGGGAACCAGAGCTAGGGACAGGCAGCTGCAAAGGCAGGAAAATGTTGGTATTTGGGGGTTTAAACATGTGGATGAGGGATGCACAAAGAGCCCTGCAGAGCAGAGCAGAAAGCAGAGGCTTCTCCACAGCCCGGGTACAGGACCGGCAGCAGCAGAGTGCCAGGCCACCACCGCGTGCCTGCCTCAAGCCCGGCAGCTCTGGGGATCTGCTTTTGCTCCACCTATCCACGCCGGGTACGTGCTGTCCAGGGAGCGAGGGGAGAGACGGAGGTTCACGTGCTTGGGTAGCTGTTGGGAGAAGCCAGCTCCACAAACGTTGATCACGTGCAGGTTTACCACCTGCGTAGCTGCTCTCTTCCCGCCCTACAACATCCAAGGGAGAAAGCGACCCCGGCCAGGGGAAGGGCTGCCCGCCTCCCCGCACCCTGCCGAGCTCCCCAGCTCTGCGCCCGCTGGCGGGGGCACCAAGCTCTTCCCAATAAAGACAGCTCTGCCAGCATCGCTCACAGTGCGTTTAATCAGACCCAGTGCTTTAAGAGGACCGCACAAAGGAAAGCCGACACAGTCCTGAACCACAGCGCTATAAGAGGAGGAAATCCAGGCTGGCCTGGCTCTGTTCCATAAACAGGCAAAAGGAGAACTGTGATCCTTGCAGAGAAGCAAGGCAGGGCATCTCTGGGGGACTCGAGGCTGCCACCCTTACTGATCAGCTCTGCTACAGAATCAGTAGCAAGATTTCAGCCTGGCCACAAATTTGCTTTCATCTATGAACATCCTCTTTAAGGAACCTTTTGACCACCCAGCTGCCAGCACTGCGAACGCCTGTTGCCCTCAGCTGCACACTTCCCAGCACTGCCAGCACAGGGGAACTGGGAGCCCAGGGGCTGAGACTTTGTCGTCTCCCTCCAGAGGCGCAGGCGGCTCCCAGCTGCACAGCCACGCGAATGCAGTCCCATCTGCCTGGCCAGCATCCCAGCGTATGTTGGAGCGCCTCGAGAGGCAGCCAGGCCCCTAGTAAATGCCGTAAGTGGGCTCCTCAGTGTCTCGGTATCTGTCCAGGTACCTCAGAGGCTGGTGGCGTGGGAACTTTAACTGCGGAGGATGGTAAACGGGCGGCCGCACGAATTCAAACACAGGCTCTCTCATATCTGTGAAGGGGCGATACAGAATGTTAGCAAGATGGCTCAGACCCAAAGCCCAGGCGCTCTCCTTTGCGAGCAAGGGTCCCCCACGCGCACACGTGGTCAAGCACGCCATGGTGAATATCACTCTCTTGGTGGTATTTTAAAACATTCATTCAAAAAGGCCTTTTAGAGGTTATTTTCTCAGACTGCTGCTAGTTTGGTGGAGGATGGCTCGCTAAGTACCCAGTCTGTGCTGTGTAGACAAGTGCCAGGACCAAGCAAGAGCCTACAGCCACAGCTTGCCCACTGACGCTATGCATTACCCGCAGGGCCGTGTCCGAGCCTGCAAACAGCCCCCCTCCGGCATCCCTGCACGGTGCAGTTCTTACCGAGAAGCTGATGGAAGACCCAAGTAACGGAGCTGTCCCACTGACACTGGAAAAACGCCAGCCCTGCTGGGGTCATTGCATCCTCGTGCTTTCTGTAGAAGTCAAAAGTGCTAAAGGTTCGCATCTTGAGGCTGTGGCTGGAAACAAGACACAAGCACAAGAACTGAGGTGAACGTCTTTTCCTGCAGCATTCTGGTAGGCAACTACTTCCCCACACCATCCTAGAGTCTATAAAACAGAGGTGGAAAAGAAAGTCACTACAAAAAAAAAATCTCATAGCTTCTCCAGCTCTGTGCACATTTCTACCCCAGGGAGGAAAAAACACTTTCTTTAACAGCCTGGTTTAAAGCAACAGGACTCCACAGGGCTTGCAGGGCTGGGATTGTGGCTTTAGGTGACACAGAAACTCAAAGCAGCCCTGAACAACCCTGCAGGTTAAAACGAACTGCTCTCCTACAGCAGTAACAAGCATGTCATCATAACAAGCAATAACAGCCTAGCCAAGCGAGTGTGAAACTGCCCAGTGAAAGCCTGAATTACCATGGCATCGGCCGAACATCCTCGCTGAAATCTATGGGGCAGTCTTGCTTGAAGAGGAGGAAGATGAAGCGATGGTAGCCAGTTCCCATGGCAGGGAAGGGGGGCAAGTAATGGCAGATCTCCTTACCCGATTTGATGTCGTTGCCTGGGATGTTTGTCCTGAACACAAAGAAGTTTACTTCCTTATCTATCCATTCACTTTCCTCTGTTGGGAGCATCAGATTCACACAGGATTGCAAGTCACCCTGTGCTACACTTTGATGTGGCTTACACCCTGTTTGACAAGTAAAGGCTGTTTTCACTGGAAGAAAAATCACACCCAGTGATGTGAATGCCAAACAGCAGTGACACCTGGAACTACTGCATCTTGAGCAGGACCCAGAACACAGGGATAAAGAAGCTAATGGCAGGAGCACCAGAGAAAGCCGCAGAACTGTCTTAGCAAATGCTTATTCCCGAGCTCTGTTAAAGGAGTTTCTGCCCTCTCCAACTGGGCTTTCCCTGAGCTAAGCAGCATGCAGCTCTGATGTGTAGTACTCACACCAACCAGTGGAGGTACTCCGAGTCTGTGTCTCTTAAATGTCCATCTGCAAACACACACAACAGAGAAAGGCAACTTAATGACAGCCCGGTGTTTGCATCAACCCCAAAGTGAGAACGCCCAGATACCCTTCAAAGAGAAGGAACAGCTCAAGACCTCCCAGCCTTCCTTTTCCAGCAGAAAAGTAACTCATTCTTATAGGATTGAGCTTAAAATGAGGAGCAAAGAACTCTATAGATGTAATCCCAAGATTAAAAGGTCTTCCTGGTCAGTTGCTTCACTTCATTGTGAAGGTTTCTCAGGGAGAACAGCATAAGCTAACCTACCTCCCAGGCAGATTGCCAAGGGAGAGAAGAGCTTGTGGGTAAACAATAGATGAGAGTCAGGGAATTGCTTCCACTACAGTGTGACATAGGTCCTGTTGCACTCCATCTCTCAACTGTTAGAGACTTAGGGAGGTTACAATCTGTCTTGCATATGTAATACATCCCTACTTAGAAGATATTGTGCAGCCAAAAGAAAAGGGCTAACCAAAAGCAGAGTGAAACAACCCCATTTAAACAAGTTCTTTTTAAGGAACCTGCTACTCACCTGGATTTGTGAGCAACAAAGTCCAGAGGGAGCCTTTATCTGCCTCATATGACACCGCAGGGGAACTGGAAGCCTAGATGAGCAACATAAAGAGAATGTAAATCACTCAAACAACATGTTCCATTAAGACCAGTTCATGACTTCCAAGGCAAAGAACATGAACTTGTCACAGGCACAGCCACGCCACCGAGTAATCCAGCTCCACCTTGAGAGCCCCCCGGGGCATTAATAAACATCATCCTGCCAATAGACAACAATCTTGTTGCAAAGCTCTTTCCTTATCACATCCAAGAAACATGTTTCTTTCATCACAGAGGAAATATCCTTGTAAAAAAGAAATCCCCCAGAAGGAACAACGTCCGTTAGAAACATCTGACAAAAAAACACAGGGGCTCGAGTTGTTCCCAGCTCCCCTTACACACCTCTGACGGAGTCACTATGTTCCCATAGTAGACCGGCACGAGGTGCTCGTCTTCTTGGCTGTACTCCACCCTCAAGGTAACCCAGGGGGTGAACGTGGCCCCCTTGAACAAGTCACGAAATATCCCGCAGTGTTCTGCCACACGCTGCTTGTGGAATGGGCCACTGGTCTTCTCCCACTCAGCTCTGACTTCCTCGAGAGGGATCAGCACTGCAAGGAGAGAGAAACGCTGCAGGAGGCAGCTGGGGACCCAGAGCGGCCGGGGCAGGGAGAGAGGTGGTGGGGCACAGACCAGTCCGGAGCCGCGCTGCTCTTTCCATCTCAGCATTCTGGTGGTTCTCCCGCAGGATCTTTTTCCTTTCCTTGATTTCCTTTGCCCGTGGCAGCTTGTCACGCGGCAGGCTGATGTCAGTCTTTGGCTCTTCAGAGAGGGGTGACAAGATCATGTGTGTGAAAAAATCTGAATACCAAAATACTCAAACATAAAACCTCTGCAAAGTGTTAGAGAACATGCAAGAGACACAAACTTCAAGACATCAGAGACTCGATTCTACCACTTCTGCCTTCCCCCTGCACCTCCACGGTTCTGCTCCCCGCTCCTCCTCAATCCCATCACACCCCCAGACCCAGAGGTTTGCCAGCTGGTGAGCAGGTCTGATCTCTGCAGCTGCTCTGCAGCCAAACTGTATTATATGCTACAGGTATAAAGCTCTGGTTCCTGGTCTGCTTTCTCTGACACTACTGGGGTTCCAAGGAATCACTTCTTTACTCTGCTCCACATCTTTTAGAAGGTCATGGCCAGCCTCCCTCCTTCCAGAAAACTGCCACTCATTTCCCTGAAGACATTTGCGCTTTGCAAACTTCTACATCAGAAAAGGGCCAACCCCGTGCTAAAGCACCTCATCAGCTCTCTACAGGCGGGTTTTGGGGCAAACCCGTGGCTCCAAAAACAGCTTCCTTGGCCTTCAGCAGCAAAACCCCGCGTGCCACAGCTCCTTCCGCGAGTACCTGGCTGGGGGCTCGTG